TATTAGCTGCGACACATGAATCAAGACGCTATGACTGAAAAAATATGATTGACAGATGACCGTTAAAATATGATTGGCTGAATTTAGGTGTTCAGGCTGACATATAAATAACTGGCCTGCAGAAGACAACGAAACAAAATCCATAGATTTTAAGAAAGGCTTTTTTTTTTTATAGAAATTTTCTAACTTAATATCATCCGATAAAGAGTACATTTATATAGATGTTTACGTGAGAGTGATTTGAAATTTAAATATGACTTCCCAACGACTTTAAGCTCTAAAATAAGACACAAAAAACTGATTTAATTGATGTTTTCTACTCTACAGAATATAAATATCAATTAAAAAAATTTTGAAAACACTCTTCTGATTATTTAAAGATTGCGATAACTGTTCCTCAAAGAAACAAATCTGTATTTTATTCTTTGAATGTTCAACTAAATCCTAAATAAATAAATAAAAAAGATGAAAGTTAGATCAATCTTACTAAATTGAATTTGTGTTGAAACTCATTAGAACCATTTTAAGGTCCACGTCTCCGGTGTAAGTATTACCGTTTGACAGGCTGAAGCTCACAATTGATCACAAGATGACTAAATCTTTACTAACTCCTTCCACTCCAGGCGCAGATGATTAACAGGCCGGCTCGTTATTGGCCCGCCACATAAATGGTGACTCGATGCTCCTGAAGGGTCCCCAACTACCCACAGATGTTCATCCAAACAATCTTTACACAAACCTTCTCCACGATTATAAGGTCGCCCACTTGGATGCCGCTGCTCTTTACCTTCACCGTACCTGAAACGCAGAACGGCAGAAGAAGGAAAAGGTTTGTTCAGGAAGCAGCAGTGATAAACTTTATCATTAAAGCCATTAATGTCCTCTTGGTGAACCGATGTCCTGCATGCCACAGCAGCTCTCCATGCAGATTCTGAAAGAATGTTGAAGGGGGGGGGCTGAGCCTTTTTCCCTCTCATTCCACTTGGTATGAACAGGCAAAATTGTTTGGAGGAGATCACTGACCCCTGAACTGTGCTGTGACCTCTGGGCTTTGCATATGTAAGACATTAAAGCGCATTAATATTGTTATGCATTTTTGACTTGCAGAGCTTCACAGGAGAGCTATAAACATCTACTCTTTTAGAGGGTTTATACAAACATGAGTAAATGTTTATTATATATATGTATATATATGTATATATATATATATATATATATATATATATATAGTAGGGGTGGAACGGTTCACAAAATCCACGGTTTGGTTCGATTCACGGTTTCTGGTCACGGTTTTCGGTTCGATTCGGTATATGTTGATTGTTACACCAAAATCCCATAAAAATTTATGAAATTAATGAAAAAATCCCCCAAAAAATAATGAATTGTATTTATTTTAAATGATCCGCGGAGACCCTGGACCATTTCGGTATGTTTTGCTGCTTTTAATTTAATCATCTGGCGCATGCCCTCTACGATCTCCAAGGAACTCAGAGCGGAGCGAACGGGAGCCACAGTGGAGGCTGTAGACTTTGCTTTGTGCAGCCGGTCTGGAGCGCAGCGGGGCGGAGCGCTGATGGAGTATGAGGGATTTCGGGGTTAGCATGACATGTCGGTCATGTTGCTGTTGGCATAAAAAAAATGTGTTGCACAATGCTTGCACACTGTTCCACTTTTATCCACAGCTTTCTTTCCGCCGTCATCGTAGGTCACTCTAAATGCAAAGTGGTCCCATACAGCAGACCTATAAAGTGCTGCTGGCGCGTCTTCCAACTCCTGTTCTTTCCCACTCGCCATACCCACACAATTCTCTGATTTTTCCCTGCTAC